CCATAGTTTTGTTGTACCATGGTTTTTAAGGGATGTGGAACTCATGTACTATGTAAGCATATGACAACTTCATGAAAGCCATTTCTCTAAATATGAATGCCATTTCTATGTTAAAAGAAGTATTAGAAAACAAAAGAGAAAAATATAAAAACTTATTCATCCACTTAATGCAGTCTTGAAATTAATATATATATATATATATATATATATATATATATATATATATATATATATATATATATATATATATATATATATATATATATATATATATATATATATATATATAAGCATAAAAGCATTAGGAGTAAATGTTAAAAAAGTAGTAGATGCTAAATTGGCCAAAGTTACAAGCAAATCACTTATTCTCTGTACTTTAAATGCAAGTTCTACTTTTGTCTATTATTATATTAAGCATCTTTAAGGTTTTTTTTTTATATCAATCCATTTCAAGCAAACAAATCAAGTCATTTCTTCAACTGAAAAACAAAGGTATATATATTGCCTTGTCTGTTGCTTTCTTTCTTTTTATCTCCATCACACTGTCTTTGTATACATTTATGTATCTACATATATGTTTATTAAGTGATGATTGTAGAAGGTTTTGATGGAATCGCTTATCGTGTAGGCAACAAGGCCCTAATTAATTAACGTTCGTGTCATTGCATTGTTGTGTTTCTACTTTCTAGTAGTACGTGTAATCAAATGCATGGTGAATACTGAATAGTATTAGACATATATATAAATTCATGGAAGTATTATTATTATTGTAATAAGTCATATACCACTGTTTTGGATCCATAATTAATTAGGAATCCACAAGTTAACGGCCACAAAACTCCTAACGCATATCATTGAACAAGCCATAAGAAAAACCTTCGTGTCTGAATCCCTACATTATTTAGGATTGGCATGGGATATAATCTATTAAACAACACATCTTAATTACAGTGTGGACAATAATAATACGGAATACAGTTAGAAAAATTATCGTATATGTAATTAAATTCTAATCTAACCCTGACATAAAAAATTATCATATATTTTATATATGTAGACTTATAAAAAAGACAAACTCGTCATTAAGGTGTTCGTATGGTTATTTTAACAAAGTTTGTTAAATGTGTCTACTTAGAAAATTCAAGACTCTCCAACGGTTATTTCATTTGGAAAATTATAATATTAATCAAGTTTTTTAGAAAGTCGCTTTGAAAATCAAAGTTTAGAGCTTATATTATAATTTTATAATCAAATAATGAATGATATTTTTTTTGAACGACAAGTTGACTGGTTAGATGTTAGTGTTAATACTCCAAATCTTTTTAGTACCAATGATTGAACCATGACATCCTGATTCTCGCATACTAAGAGTCTAAGCCTCTACTGGGCTATTCCCAATTGGCAAACGATGAATGATATTACCTACACCAAAAGTTTTTAATTAGAAAAAATTGCAAAAATGGTCTTTATGGTTGTCAAAATTATGTTTTTTTGGTCCAAAAATGTTTAGTGGTGTATTAGCGGTTAAATTTTGGATTTTTTTAGTGATTTTGGTCCCTATAGACTTGAAATTATTATTATTTTTTTTTTGGAAAAAGGGAACTTCCCTAACGAGGATTTCCAGGCCAGTTTTCGCGCACCAACTAATCATCCGCTGCAAACATAAAGCTTTGCCTCATGCCCTGGAGTCACTGCAGGCGAACCTCCATGGCCACAAGGGCTGAGTGCTGCCAGGATTTGAACATGAGTCAATAGGTTATCCACCATATCTTCCACATGCCTTACTAAGTCACCACAACCCAAGTGGTTAACTTGAAATTAGTTTTATGCCTTTATAATTTGTTTTTCTATTTTTTTAGATAAAATTACAAAAATGGTCCCTGTGGTTTACCAAAAGTAACAAAGTTAGTCCCTATTAATTTTTTTTGATGCAAATAGCCTCTATGGTTTGCAAAACTTGCACAGATGACCCTTTTTACTAACGCCGTTAGTATTCAGCCATTAGGGACTGAATTAGCAAGGGTATTTTCAGCCATTAGGGACTGAATTAGCAAGGGTATTTTCGTCTTTTCAAGTATAAAGGAACTGGATTCACAACTTTGGGTAAACCATAGGGACCATTTTTGTAATTCTTTCTAAAAATGATAAGAATGATAATAAATGTGGGGAGGATTCGAACTTGGGACGTCTTTCCCCTTCCTTATTCAATCAAAACTCTAATCAACTAAGCTAGAGCTAAACTTGTTAGTTAATTCCGAAAATTAATTAATATTATATATAAGCGTAAATAACTAATAAGAAAAAATATTTAGAAAAAAAAATTAATAAAACAAAATATATTTTTAGCATATTGTAAAAAAAATATTTTCTAACAAAAAGTTTACTTTTTTTACATATTTGTTTTACATAAAATATTTTTTTTAATGTATTTAAAAAAATACGTTTTCGTATACTATGTTATTACATTGCTATGATCTTAAAACATGTTTTTACTTTCACATAGAAAAAAAGTTTTTTTTCCGTATAAAATATGTTTTTTATATATTTAAAAAATACATTTTCGTATAAAATGTTTTTACGTAAAAACATTAAAAATGTGATAACATAATGTAAAAATATGTTTTAAGATCAAATCAAAACGACTTATATTTTTACGTTTTAAGATCAAATCAAAACGATTTATATTTTTTACAGAAAGCAAACTAAAGATGATAACATTATGAAAAAATGCGTTTTTCTACATAAAAATGCATTTTTTTTTACGTAAAAATGCATTTTTTTACGTAAAAATATGTTTTTTACGTAAAGCCTACTAAAGACGTTTTTCTTTACGTGTGAGTGATTGATCCCTCACCCATATAGCGTTTTTTTTTACTTAAAAACGTTAACGTGATGATATATTATATGAAAACATATTTTTACATTTTCTTTACCTAAAAAATATAAGTTGTTTTGATTTGATCTTAAAACATATTTTTACGTTATGTTATCATGTTCTTAATGTTTTTACGTAAAAACATTTTATACAAAATGTATTTTTTAAATATATAAAAAAAATATTTTATACGTAAAAAACTTTTTTTTCTATGTAAAAGAAAAAAAACGTATTTTTATATGAAAACATAAAAATATGTTTTAAGATCATAGCAATGTAATAATATAGTATATGAAATCGTATTTTTTAAATACATTAAAAAATATTTTATGTAAAACAAATACGTAAAAAAACAAGTATATTTTTTGTAAAAAAATATATTTTTTTTACAATACGCAAAAAATATATTTTGTTTTATTAATTTTTTTTCTAAATATTTTTTTATTATTAGTTATTTACGCTTTTATATCATATTAATTAATTTTTGGAATTAAATAACAAGTTGCGAATCCAGTCTCTTTATACTTGAAAAGATGAAAATACCCTTGGTAATTCAGTGCCTAATTGTTGAATACTAACGGAGTTAGTAAAAAGGGTCATCTATGCAAGTTTTGCAAACCACAGGGGCCATTTGCATCAAAAAAAAATTAATATGGACTAAGTTTGTTACTTTTGGCAAACCACGGGGACCATTTTTTGTAATTTTGTCATTTTTTTATATTGTTATAATGATTAAATTATTTAAAAATTATATAGTAAATATTAATGAGTTGGGCTTAGCCTACACCCCAATCGATACACCTAATAAAAGTTCTTCACCCTTTTCATTTCTTTCTCATCCATCGTGACCATCGGCCTCACTTGGACCTTAGCCCCTCTTCCGTCAGAGTTGCTATCAATCACCATAACTAATGTTTCCTTTAACCACCACCATCATCATCCTTCAACCCTCACCATTGTTGATAACTTACATATCGTCGTCATCCCTCTCTCACCCATCTACATCATTTCTACTGTCTCATCTGTTTCTCCATTCGAAAGAAACCTTCCACTGGAACCAATTCTGTTTCACCTAAATGTCGATTGAACCACCTCAAGTCCAACCCTATTTTTCTTTTCTTCTGGTTTCAATGAAGGAATTGGTTTCTAGAACAATTTTTCATTTATGGATCTTGAAAGGGAAATTTATGGACTTGGAAACATTTTCAAGATTTGATATTGGATGTCAATTCACCCCTCGATTCGCCAGATATGAGGTACACAAACCCTAGCCACCGCACACCTGAATAAATCTTCATCTTTGGCACTAGGATTCATCTTAGTAGAGGGTTGTCTTAGAGGGGATGATGTTTCCGGATAGAAAAAAATGGTGGCAATGGAGATGTTTCTCTATGACTGAAACATGTTTGAAGGTGCAGGTTTAAAGCTCTAATCGTATAAGGTTGTGTAGTGGTTGGAATGGAGGCGAACACATGTGAGTGCTTCGGCTAGAGAGTGACAGGATCGCTCGTCAGGTTTGGTTTGTAATGGTGTAGGTGGCTGAATGAAGAGTTCCAAACAAGTGGGGGCTCTAGGGATTTTTCGATTGGTGTGATGCGGGTGGTCTAATGTGATACAGGTGGTTGTTGGTGACGGTATAAGGGTGGTTCCAGTGATGTGAAGGTGATATAGTGGATGTATGAAGGGAGAAAGAGGGTCTGACAATTTATTTATTTTTGTGTTTTCAATTAAAATAATAAGAGATTAAGTAGAAGAAATTAAAAATAAAACTATACAGGGGTATATTTGTCATTTCATGTTGCTTATGGACTAAAACAACAAAAAAAATGTCAACCATAGGGACCAAAACCACACAAGGAATCCAAAATTGGACTACTCATGCACCAAGAAACTTTTTTGGACCAAAAGCACATAATTTTGACAACAACAGGGACCATTTTTGCAATTTTGTCTTTTCTTTACTATGGCTTATAGTTGTTTTATATTTAATAAACAAGTCTCTTATTTGTTGAAAAGAGAAAGAATACTCTTTGTAAACGAAAACCATAATGTTGAAAACAAATATTGTTTATTGTTTATACCATAAACTTGTTTCATTTGCATATCAAAAGACAATTCAAAACCAATGGAGATGGAGATGTCCGACAGTGAAGTTGTTAGAGTTGAAATACCGCGGGGCAATCTACCGGAAGTCGCCGACAACATTAACCATGGCTTTGCTCAAGAGTGGGAAGATTGTCTTCAAAACAGTGAGACCACAAAACGTTCAGAACGTAAACGAAAAATGGAGAAAGTACCTTCATTACTCTTGAAAGGCAAAAAAGGTCGAAGAAATCGCCAATGCTACCAGCCAGCAGTGATTTCACTTGGTCCTTACCACCATAAACGAGACGACCTTGTCGCAGCTGAGAAATACAAGCTCATAACACTCGAGGAGTATCGCTTAAGCTGCGGAACTCGAACTTCCATGGATTCGTTATACAAAAAGGTCTTCGAAGTTGTACATGATGCTAGAAATTGCTATATCGATGGTTCTACAGATGAATACAACGATGAGGAATTTAATCGAATGATGTTACATGATGGTTGCTTCATTTTGTTCTTTATAGAGTGTGTTGCTAGTCACCCGAATACTTTGGCAATGCTAAATAATGAGTATTTAGGCGCATTGGGCTTCGCGCACGTAACTCGTGACATTTTGTTGCTCGAGAACCAAATCCCGTTTATAGTACTCCAAGTTTTGTTGGATTTGCGATTCCCAAAAGATAGAGGCGAAAATATCTTAAATGACTTCTTTAACTACTTGAAGTATGGTGAAATCTCCACGAAGGAAAAAAAGGTGCTTGGAAAGAAGAAACCTCTTCATCTTCTCGAGCTTTACAGGTCCCATTTCATCTCGCTTTCCTCCTCTTCGATAAAAAAGATTGACGATGATGCTAATGAAAAATGGAATTATGTAAAGAGAAATCGATCTTTTCCATCAATCATGGAACTCAAAGCTAAAGGAATTTTCTTGAAATGTACTAAATTCGAGGACGAGTCTTCTACCGAAAACATCAAGTTTCATTCACATTGTTATTATGGTAAGCTTGAGCTTGTGCGTCAGTCTGTTTACTTGAATTCAAAATCTATTTACTTAAACATGATCGCTTATGAGATGTGCCCTCATAATCCAAATGACTTTCGAGTTTCAACTTATATTCGAGTAATGAAATCATTGGTTGTTCATCATGATGACGTGAAGGAGTTACGAAACAACAACATATTGCTTCATAGTCTTGGTCGAGATGAAGACGTGGTGAAGATGTATGATGATATTGAGGCACCGGCTGTGAATCTCTACATGTTTAACCAGCTCCGGCAAGGCATTGAGAAGCATTGTACTAACAAGTATAAAATGTGGGTGGCGGAGCTGATTAACGTCCACTTTAGTAGTCCATGGAAGACGGTGGCTTTATTTGTGGCTACTTCTATTTTGTTTATTAGTTTTGTACAGACTTACTTCACCATTAAGCCACTTCCAGATGACTCCACTAGGGATATTCTCAAGCTTTTGAGACAATTTGAATACTCTAAGCCTCCCTCTACACCTGTTTGAGCTAGAGTTCTCCATGTTGCACACTGTGTTAAGAGAATCAACAATATGTTTTTTTGTTGGGATTATCAATGACACGTTATAATTATTTCAACATTATAAAAATCTAAAATCTGACACGTCTTAATAAAAGACAAATGACAGAGATTTTTTTTTCCTAAGCTTGTTTATGTGTGATACATATCAATTATGAAATTATATAATATTATTACTACTTGTAAACCTATAACCAGTGGAATATATTGTCATTGGGAACCAAAAATGAAAAATATGCAGTAAATCGAATAAGGGATATTCATAAGGGGCGTTCTTTAATTCATTTCCATCAGTCACATCAAATGTATTTGGATAGAAAAATATGAACCAACTATGTATAGTAGGATATTATCAACTGATCAAACTAGTGTTATACCTGTCCGATGGACATAATGATTGATAAAATTGCAATATATTTTGAATTGTCTTATTTAAGGACATTATAAAAATTTGAATGAATGAAAAAATATTATTTTTGAATAGATTTTGTTGCATCCAGATCATCTAAATCAATGGACATAATGATTGATAAAATAGCAATGTATTTTTGAATTGTCTTATTTAAGGACATTATAAAAAATTGAATGAATGAAAAAAAAAAAATAGTATTTTTGAATAGATTTTGTTGCATCCAGATCATCTAAATCACACAGATTTCTATTTGTTCATTAAAAAAACACATAATCAAAATCAAATATGCCATCCTTTCATTAGATAATCCTAAAGATCTGCATAATCATAATATAATCAACTATTTATTTATAGACTAAGTACTAAAAAAAATGAATAAATAAACAAAATAGAATTTGATCTCCCAGGATTTGAAACCAAATTAAGCCTTTTCAAGAATAACGTAATTAGCTACTTCATATAACCATAATTATAATTAATAACACAAGATGCAAATCAACACCCTCCTTACAATAACCCAAAAACGAAACACAAATGTTACAACAAGGTCATACTTATTATATGAGCGAATTAAGTGGATACAAGCTCCACTTTTGGGAAGAAATTTCAAAGTAAAATGTTACAAACAATAGTATCACTTTGATGAAAAGACTTGAACTTAACCTACTATAACACCCGAATTTTCAGGTACATTATTATGTATTTTAGTCTTGAAGATTTATCGAGAGACTCGATGAGTTGAGGGTCCAACTCACCAAGTTGAGTTGCCCGCATGGATTTAATGAGTAGACTCAACGAGTCAGAGAACCGACTCGCCGAGTTGGTTATGGGCTGAGAAACGCTAATTTCCTGGGGTTGGGGCATATATAAGGGAACTTATGCCCTAATTTATGCCTCACCAGTTACCCTACACCGCTGAGAGCAATCCCTAATCGCCATTTGAGCTAGAGAGTGAGTGAGTAGCTAATTTGAGTGCTTTTGTGCATCCTTTGAAGAAGATTTGGAGAGCTTGGTGTGTGTGATCAAGGAGGGGTTGTAGATCTAGAGTTCTCCAGTGGTTAGCTTCGGTGCAAGGGTAAGAAGCTCCTATCTTGACCTTTCTTTTGTGAGATCTTAGTTTAGGGAGATTTTGAGAGTTTTCTCCCATCATTTCTTAGCAATGAGTTATTTGAGCATATCATGAGGGTGAAACCTCATATCTGGACTGTAGAAGGACTTGAGAGACCAAAGATTCAAGCTTTATTGAGCTAGAGTCTAGCTTTTGTGCATTTAGCCCTTATGGGAGCATGTTTTGGCATTATGAGTCTTATATGCCATGATTAAATGTAAAGCTTGCAGCTTCATGTGTCATTCGACCCTTAGTATGGTAGATATGGTGTTTGGAGTGGTGGATCTGCCTTAAATCGTCTGAATAAGGAATCTGATCGCAGTGACTCACTGAGTCCATGGCCTGACTCGACGATCGGTAAGGGTTTGTCCCGATGGGTTGATTGTACACTAACTCGGCGAGTTGGGGGTTAACTTAACAAATTAAGCTGTGCTTTTTGAGACTTCTGAGGATACGAGGGGACTCAATGAGTCGCAATAGTACACTCGATGATTCGGGTCAAAAATGGACTGTTGAATCGAGTTTGACTTCTGTTGACTTTAGGGTTTTGGTCAACATGAGTAATAGAGACCATGGAGGGGTAAAATGGTCTTTTATCCACTTCAAAAGAGTTAGAGGGAGAAAGAATAGAATTTAGTTATTTGAGTCATGAAAAGAGTATTAATTAGAGATATTCATCCTTTGTGTTAGGCGTAGGCTAGTTCGAGATCCGAGCGCGAGGTTATTTTCTCACCTGCTTGCGAGGTGAGTCTTCTCACTATACTTTACCTAGAGTGGTAATTATGTGTGACCAGAGAGTCTTATGTGCTTATTTGAGTTATACATTTATGTATGATATGTGCTATATGGTATATTATGTGATACTTAGACCGGACCGGAGGGTCCAACGAGCTTTGAGGCCGGAGGATCCTCACTTAGATCGGATTGGAGGGTCCAACGAGCTGTGAAACTGGAGGGTCCTCACTGAGACCAGACCAGAGGGTCCAACGAGCCGTGGGACTGGAGGGTCCCACAGAGACACATAGACCGGAGGGTCTTACAGAGTTATAGCCTCGAGTGGTTAATGTGCTATATGTGGTATTTTGGGGAACTCACTAAGATTCGCGCTTACCGTGTTATGTGTTTCAGGTTTTCTCAGGATCGCGGGAAGGCACCGCCTTGATTGTACACAACAGTGAAAGAGTTATGTTTTGAAGGTCCTGGATTTTAAATCAAACAATTATGGAATTGCGATTTGTGATTTGAATAAAGGAGATTTTGTGAAATGTGTTATGAGGATTATGCGATTTTAAATGAAAATTTTATTTGAAAACTTACGTTGTTACAAGTTGGTATCATAGCCTTGGTTTGAGGGATTCGGATGCACCTATGTGTGTGTTTGAACTCAAACTGAGGATTTGAGAAAGATTTTCAAAAGAGATAAATTTTTCTAAAAATAAGAAAGAGTTTAAGAGAAAACGAGTTGGAGTAGTGTGTACAATCAGCCAGAGCCCGAATGGTGATTTCCCAAAATACCATTACTTTTGTGTTATGAGATATTTATGTGATATTTTCTGAGATATTATGCATGCTAGAGATATGCTAGGTATTACATATTTTTGGACTAGAGTTGCCTAATTTGTGATGCCTTAGCCTAGGAGTTGCTGCTATATGTGATGTGCTTTTGAGTATGTGCTAAGGAGAATAGTTAGATACTTCGAGCGGTAGGATTGCCTGAGTTGAAAATATCTTTTGAGTTGGAAATGGAGCAAGAGGAAGTATATGCCAGAGTGGCTTTATGTGTTAGTGGGGAGTGTCATTCGATGCCTGAATGTTGCTTACTTCGTGCTTTGTGGAACTCTTGATGATGGGAGACAACTACTAAGTGAATATGACATCATTAGGAGGTAGATGGTTGGCATCATGAGGAGTTCTTCAGCTGCTGATCGCAGAGAAGTGTGAGAACCTAGGAAGAGCCTAGGGAGTGAACTTATTCAGATGAGTACACTGACGGAGGAGAGCATTCGCTGGAAGGCGAACTTGCATAATGGGCTTGGTGATCGAGAAGGTTGATTAGCTACTTAGGAAAACTGAGACGACCCGTGTGGAAAGTATGGGTAGATGTGGCAGGTAGTATGGGCGTGTACTACTGAAAGTAGAGGACACATACTCGAAACATGGAGAATTCCAGAAGTTCTAAGTAGCGGATTGAGAAGAGAGAACATGGTTCGAGTACCATGATTTGTAGCGGATTGAGAAGAGATAACATGGTTCGGGTACCATGATTCATAGAAGATCGAGAGGTGGACACATGATTCGAGTACCATGACTCGTGGCGGTTAGTGCTTCTAGTTTTACCAGATATTTCGTTGTGATTGGTTAGACTGAGATCATATGTGAAAGAGCATGGGGCCAGAGGGCCATGTTAAACAAGTTTCAATGGATCATACCTTGAAAGGGAAATCGAGTTAGTTTCCGAGGGATTTTTGGTGAGATGCCAGTTGGAGTTGCAAGACTCAGGGATGAGCAGAAGATGGTGATCTATGGAGGATTACGGTCTGAATTGAGCAATCAACTAATAGAGGAGATGTCACTTTCTGTGACCAGAGTTTTGCTATGTCTATTTCCCGTAAGGAGCAGAAGAGATATTGAGACTTTCGGTTTCTGAGCTTGCGGGTAAACCCTATGGGGTAGTATTGGTTGCGATCTTTCACCAGAGTATCTGGGCAGTAGGTCTACCGCAAGATAGTATTATAGTAAGAGAGGATCATCAGTGGTGTCTGAGATGATCAAGGACAAGGATATACCCTATTTGAGTATAGTAGGGCATGTGTTAGTAGCAGTGTCATGTAATCAAGAGGATCATTTTTGGGACGGTGGCTTTCGTTGTCTAAGTTGAGTATCGGCTATGAGAGTACGGTCTCTTGCTTTTATGATTATTCTCGCATTGGGAGGGTTTTAAGTTTTTTGTCAGAGACAGGATATTTGAAGATTTCTCGGTTCCATTGGAAAGGTCCTTCAGTGATTGCGTAGTACGTTTCAAGAGCCAAGTGTGACATACCTGGTGAAACGATCTATGGAATAGAATGTTGGCATGCCAATCGGGGATAGTTTGAACCATGAGTGGGGGAGAATTAGGTATTTTATTGAGGGGATCAACGATCCGTTCAAGTGTGGTTAGAGAAATGGATATGGAGATCTACGGTATGGGAACATGAGGCCATGGTTATTGGTGTTCAAGGTGAGGGTAGAGCGAGATAATGCATGTTGTATGTGTTAAGGAAAGGATGAGTGTTTCCACGACAGGTGGCCGTCGGTCGAGGACCGTGTGGTGGCTCGTAAGGATACATTAGGCGGTTGAAAGTTTCTGGTTCACTGTATGGGTTGTTATATGCACTTTGGGAAGGGTAGAAGCTGATTGGGCATCCAGTTTCCGGTTCAGCATGGGTATTATTTCATGGGATTTGGA